CTCACTATGTAGACTAGACTGGCCTTGAACTCACAGAACTCCACCTGCCTCTGCTTCCTAAGTGCTGGGATTAAAGGCGTGCACTACCATGCCCTGCCTATATATATATATATATATATATATATATATATATTTTCTTGGTTTAATGCTTCTCTTTTCTGTAAATGGTAGGGATCCTGTTTTAACTTCATTAATGGTATTTCCATAGGTGGAAAAGTTTAAAAAAAAATTACATTTTCAAAAAAGTTACTCATTTTTATTTAATAATTTCTATTCATTTATTTTCAAAAGACATTCCTTTGTTAGCAACAGTTCTTGAATTTACCAAGTGAAGGAATCTTTGAGTTGAGTTGAGTTGCCCTGTAGTAACCTTGCTTAAAAGAATGCTTTGCATAAAACCTAGACAGTCTTTGACATTCTGCCCTTGAATGCTATGGAGAATAAGAAGGCAAGGGCCTTGTTCAGTTTTGCATGAAACAGGTGGAGCTTAGATGGGCCACAAAAATATTTATTTTGGGGAAATATTCCAGGATAAGTTCTCTTTCGCTCTCAGCCAAGGAAGCTCCAGTCTTAGCCAGCTGTCTGATGAGGCTCAGAGCGTCTCACGCTGTGACTGATGTTTCCTTGTCTGTTCACATTCTGTAATGTAGGTGAGTCAAGCTTGGACAAAGCTGTCATCACAGATTTTGAGAACTGGCCCAGCAGTTAAGTGCACTGGCTGCTCTTGCAGAGGACCCCTCTTGGTTCCCAGCACTCACCTGGTGGCTCACAACTGTCTGTGATTCCAGGTTCAGGGGAGTCACTGCTCTCTTCTCACGCTCTAGAGCACCAGGCACATATTTGGTGCAAGTGCACACTTGCAGGCAGAACACTTATACACATAAATAAAAATGAATATGTCTTAAAAAACAAATCCGTACTCAAACAAGATTCAAAGGTTACACATTCTGTTTTTCCCAAGGTGTATAGTATCTGAACTATACTGTTTTTCTAGATGCATAATAATAAAGAAACTATATATTTAATTCATCTTTAAATTCCCCAGAACCAAAGAGATTTTAGTCATTTATGGAAATTAGGATTTTTTTTATCTTGTGATTTTTTTTTATAGTTTAGTATAATCCACATTAGTATCTTTAGTTATTTTTAATTTTTGTTTCTTATTAAGGGCTAGAAAATATGAAATATCAAATTACAGGCTTATTCTTATTTTAAAGAAACATAATTTAAAAACATTTATGCTCATACCAAACAGTAATTTATTGCTGTCTATAAGATTACTGATTTACAAAACTTGGTGTACTTATGACGTAATTATGTGAGAAAGAAGTAACATGTTCTTCCTGTCAGCAACAGTGTGTCTGGGAGGATACGGAGTCTCCCTGGACTCTGACTGGGGGTGGGGGGCGAGAAGAGCGTCCCTGTCACCGCTCTGCAGCCCCGCCAGCAGTTCCCATCCCTTGTCCCCAAGAGCAGCATCAGATCGGCCCTGACGGATCAGATTGAGGATCTGGATAATCCTCAGGGAAGAGAAAATTCAGGCTTTGTTCGAAGTGACAAAATCGGATTATTTTTCTCAGGGCTTTTGTTCCTTTGCAGTACTCTGAAAGGTTGCTACAAATATGTAGTTGAAATAGAACCACATAAGCAGTAACTAAGTTAATCCACTTCAAAACGTGGGTGCACATGATTCTAATGCAGTTTTGCATGCTGCTGAAGGATGAGATTTATTTAATGAAAATAAATAGGATATTTTCCACTAGATGTTTAATCCAATAAACCCTTCATATAGTCATTTGTTTTCCCTCTGTGAAAATATAGTATATAGAAAAAAATGAGTGAATGAGCAAGGTGTTGAGTGAAAAGGGAGGCAGCCAAAGCATCCTTGGCTGTATGGAGCCAGAAGTAAACAAACGGTAAGGGGAACACGACTTAGGCCGAGTAACCTGCTCCTATTCTGAAATAGCAACTGACGCTAAAGTTGTGATTGACGAAAAGGGATAGTTAATATCTGCCTCGAAGCCCATCCCCTGCGTGTGACTAGCCTGCCTCTGTGTGATGATTTATTTTTATCACTGGTAATTTACTGTCATACTTTGTTCGTGAAGATTCTCCCGAGTACTTTTGTTTCATGAGCTCCAGTTTTGATCAAAGTACCACATGAACCTGTACAATTTGGGATGTAATTATCTATAGGATCTGCAAGATAAGCCTGCCTGAGGATTTCCAGTTGATCGTTGATGTTTTTTACATTAATTTCTGAAATGTAAACATTTGTTTTATATGGATGAAGACAAACCATCTGATGTTGCCCTTCATAAATTTCTAATGTGTTGTTTTTTTTTTTGCAAGATATTCTACATGGCTTATTTATGTGGAGAACTTTAATTCCTTAATTATTATTAAGTTAAAATTTTTGTAGAAGGCAAGCTTTGTTTGTAAGTAAAACAGAAAAATCCTGTTTGAACTACTCATGGAAGTGCTAGATTAGCCAGCTCATGCTTAAAATGCTGATGGCTGTCTACTGGATTTTGGAATTAATGTTTCAGAAATCTCGCACCCTGACTTTGATTTTAAAAATGTACTGCAAAGTGGTGGTAGTTGTGCAATTGGCTGTAGTTGCTCACTGACTGGATACAGAGTGGAGTCTCTGGTCCCAGAGACCTTTACTTGGGGTGGAGTTTAGACTGACCCCATCCTGTATGTTAGCTCCATTATGGGGTTTCAGCAGCTCTTTATCAGAAATGCTATTAACCCACCATTAATTACTCTTTAAAAACTCATTTGAAATATTCAGTTTTGTTTTTGGCAGAATTAAGTACATGGCCAAAATATTTACTAGTACTAATTAAAGCCAATAACGCCATCTTTTACCACATTTAAAAAAGAAGGTTGAGAAATGTGGAAATAAACAACTTGTATAAATATTTATAAAGTTGTTGATTTTTTTATACTCTATCTAGAAATTAATACAAATAAAAGTCACATTTATTTCTTGAAATAGATTGCAAAATCAAATTTATTTTTAAAAAGCTGTATTAAATTTATGCAGTAGCTTACCGACTACTCAAAAATTACTTTAGAGTTAAATTTGAGCATTTAAAACTGATATAAAGCAAAAATGATTATTGACATCATATATTCTTAATTGGAATTTAAAATGAAATTTTAAGGCAATATGCTTTGGTTTAGCCTCTGAGGCTGTGTTTGGTTATTAGTATTACTACTTTTATATTTTCATTTTCAAGCCAATACTAGTGTTTTTATAAGTAGTTAAATTGAAAATGTATTGTAGAATGTTAGACTCCAAAGCATGCAGAGAGTTTGCTAGAGGGAATGATTTTTAGTAGCTTAAGTTATGAATTTTATTTGTCTCTGTTGCTAAGATTATTTAAATATAAATGTCAAAATATTTAATTTTATAAAATACAGAGAAATTAACCTTATAATTAATTGTGTTAAAAATATCAAAATTGATCATTTTAAGAATATTAGCATCTTCCTATGCTTCTTTTAATAATATATGTCAATTGTTTGCAGGTCCTGTGGTACTGTGGAAATTCCCAGAGGACTTTGGAGACCAGGTTGGGAACATAATTTAAAAAGATTTTAAGTTGGTATATTACATTATTACTGTTTACTGCTGATATTGTGTATGAATAGCAGCAATTATTTTTCTCGATAAACTGTGAGAAAGAAAATTGTGGAGACTATATGTTTTTAAGGGACCAGGTAGGTGAGTTAAGGCTTGCTTATAGTGAGAATCATCGCAGCTGTGAGCTTATGGTCTCAACGTAGTTACACTTTCATGTATGGGATTTCCATTTCGGGACAATAAAAAACTCCTAGTCATAAAATCTTGATAATATTAATTTTTTACATAATGGCTGTACTCATTATTTCTGTATAGTTAGAAATAAATATAACTGCTATAAATAAGTGATCAGTAATTCTCGAATCACATTTAGAAGTTGAATTGGGAATATTTCCTTATTTCTAAATAATTTTTATCACTTTATTTTCTTAGAAAGCTAAGACATGGAAACTGCAGGATGAATTTCTTGATTGGCATTTTATTGTCTTCTGTAGTTCCTTAAATATTTACTATGACCAAAAATGAACTAGTTTGGTGTGAGTTCATAGGAAAATATTTTAGAATTTATGTTATGGGAATATCATTTTGGGGTTGAATTGTAATTTACACTAATTTGCTTTGATGAAATTCCCTGGATACCTAATAAATAAATTCTATCTTTTGCCTAAGAAGAAGTGAGATAATAATAGTCTTCTCACTGTTAAAATGATAACTTTGCCAGCTCATATTTTTGGTTTCAGGTGTGATTCCTACAATCTGCAAAAAGTAAATCTCATAAAAGTATATCTTTACAAGTATTCATTCAGAAATAGTATGCATGAATTTGAGTATTGTGAAAGGATAATTTATTTTTATTTTTTATGGTTTTTCGAGGCAGGGTTTCTCTGTGTAGTTTTGGTGCTTGTCCTGGATCTCACTCTGTAGACCAGGCTGGCCTCAAACTCATAGAGATGCGCCTGCCTCTGCCTCCCGAGTGCTGGGATTAAAGGTGTGTGCCACCACGCCCGGCCTGAAAGGATAATTTTCTAGACGAGAATGTCACATTGAAAGCTGGAAAATTAGAAGGTAACTTGAATGAGCCAACTAGATGGGCGTGTTAGGTACTGATTATGTCTATTGCCCTTGACCATGACTTCAAAGAAAAAGAGGCTATTCATTCTTAGGTTGCTGTTAGCCTTTAGTGAATGATGGATTAATACGTACCGTAAATATCCTTAAGTAAGTCTCTCCAGTAAAGGGGTGACTTTGATGTAAGAAGCTAAGCTGAGTGTGTTCCTAGTCCTGTAATGATTTTGGACTCATTTTACCAGTCTGAAATGCTTGTTTCTTTATCTTCTCAGCTGTCTTTTGTCCACTGATCTACAAGCAACCCCTAGTCCCCTTTCAAGTGTTATTACATTATTTTTATTTCTCCCTTTAAAACTGTTCCTTAGAATTTTTGGGGCCCTAGGGAGGCCTAACTCTGGGCCACCATATGAAGATATGTACTTGTCAGTCCACCTGAATAGACTTTAGTGTGATCACCTGTTGCTGGTCTTCTTGGCTAATACCATGCTGTTTGTGAGTTGTGCCAGTCAGCGTTCCTGCATTTAGTCTAAACCAGAAGCAATTCACTGTGTAAGTGACAGTGAACTCCCATAAATCCCAGGAATCCAGTGCACTTCAGTCTTCACAGTCTTCCTTGGTTTTGTTTTTCTGAGTACAGGGTCTCACTGTGTGGCCCTGACTGGCTTGGAACTTGCTTTGTAGACCAGGCTGGCCTTGAACTCACACAGATCACTCTCCCTCTGCCTCCAGAGTGCTGAGACTAAAGGCGTGTGCCACCCACAGAGCATCCTCACAGTCTTTTAAAATTTTTATTAGCATTTATTAATTGTACAACATGCTGTTTCTTTATGACATTTCATAATATGTATAGTACACTTGGATCATCTTCAAGAGTTCCCTGCTATCTTGCTCCCTCTCCCACTTTCCCTGGCTCTACCTTCAAGCCACGCCCTCCTACTTTCATATATTATTTCTGTTTTCTTTAACTACTATTGCTACTATATACATGCATATAAATATGAAAATATGAACCTGCCAAGTCAATTTAGTGTTGCTCATATCTGTACTTTTACCGCTGACCACTTGGGACTGGATAACATATCAGGGCTCACCCCCGGGGAGATTGATTTTCTCTCTTAGCAGTCATTAACTGCCTGTAACTCTTAATCTAGTCGTGAGACTTTATGAGACTTCTCTCATCCACATGGGCATGTTGCCTTTATTGTCATGGACCAGGTCTTATTTAGGCTGCTACATTGCTGAGATTGCACTTTAATCTTAAACGCCAGCTTGAAAATTATTTCTTGTACTTTCTTGAACTTCTACAGCAACCTGCCTGTAATTTCATAGCTTCTTTTATATATCTGAAGGATCACCCTCCCTTCCTCTTTCCCTTCCTCTCATTTTTTTTCTAGTTTCCATAGACCACTGTGGCTGTCATATAATAAAGTGAGAATAAATGTTTGTTTAGTTGAGTGAGTGACATGTTAAATAAAGAAAGTTGAATAAACTCGTGATATGTTATCTTGACCACAGTGGGAAAAACAGGGAACTAATGTTCTCGGAAGTACAGTCTGAGAGCTCTGTGGAAGCTTCAGTTTAGACAGAGTTCAAGGGCCGTGCCAAATGTGATGGAGTTTCATTAAAGCATGAATGAAAGACGTGGCCTGGTGAGAAGTTTGCGGCTCGAAATTTAGAGCGCTTGCTCATCACTGACTTGTGATGATTTCCTGACCATGGTTCCTCCTCCTCCCTTTCATTTCCCTAGATAAAAGTGCACTTAGAAGCTGTTAGAAAAGGCCACGTGCCACAGTTACAGTCATCACGTTAGTGACGTGCCGTTCATTAGCCAATCATGTAGGAAGTGGAGAGTTTAAATTATGATTTTCAGTGTGTCATAGTAAAGGACATATTTTCACGTGTGCGTTTTAGCTGTATCCTTTTGGGGCTTTCTTATGTGGGGGCTGCCAGCTAGCTGCCTGGCAGTCAGATCCGGCACTTCACACAGCCTTTTATGTTCAACCAAGTGTAGCTGTCACACTGGGCGGTGTAGAAGGAATGCTTCTTACACACGTGACCACTTATAGTTTTATACATTCATTCATTTTTCTCTCCCTGTTTGACTTAAAAGGGATTTGGATAATGCAAAGATTTTCACGATTTAAAACTGAGCAGTATTGATATCTGGGTATTTTGTAATTTTGTTTAGTATGTTACTTGTGAAGTCAAATTATTTAGCAATAACTTATTGATTCTAGTATTAACAAAAGAATTATAAGCAGTTATAGACTATTAAGAAATTAATTTTTAAAACTTTTTTGGGCTTAGTACAGTCACAAACTGATTTTTGATGTGAAAGGAAATTTTTGTCATTACTCTTATGAGGATGTATGTGCATACATGTGCATATGTTTGTACAAACCCATTTCTGTGACAAATTGATTAATTTTTAAGACTATTAGGTTTTGTAAAGAGAAGAGGTTAGTATGAAAATTATATTTAGATGCTTACTCTGTTTCATCTTCCAAACATTTTGTAACTATCTTAGTAACCTTGAAATGAATTCTCTCTTGTCATTATGCGTTTGGTAGGAACATACAGGGTTATGTTCCTCCTGTGTTGCTGTGTATCCAGAGGAGAATCAGATTGTCAACTACTGTTATAAAGATGGGGTTTATTTCCTTTGCAGGTACAATGTTGGAAAATTTAATATGAATCATGACCACACTCTTAATTTACTGTAAGCCTGTTTTGTATTTTGAATTGTTGAAATTAAAATTTTCGTTGCCAACAGTAGGAAACTAATTAGGTAAAATAGTGATATTTTCTAAACTTTGTTTAATGGACTAGGTATTTGTTGGCCATGGAACTAATGTGCTTTCACAAATTTGCAGTGAAAAACTATTTAAGAAACATTTGACAATGTATTTGAATATACAGCGTATATAACATTAATGTTGTATTTGAAGCCCTGTAAAAATGACATAACTGCTCAGCCGAAGGATGGAAAGTTTTACTGTAGTGAGCTTCTAGAATTAGGATATTTTTATTTATTCTTACATCAGTGAACTTATTCTATTCCAACTCTCCAAATGATGTAGTCCGGCTAGAGGGCCTGATCCCGCTCTGCAGCCTCCAGCAGTAAAGTCGTCTGTGATGCTGCTGAAATAAATACAGGTTTTTACAGAAACTTTTTTATAGGGAAAATTAAAGTTGGGCTCTAGTTCTACAGAGTGTTTGAGAGGAGCAGAGTGGACAAAGGACTTTTCCACAGTGACATAATCTAGTCTGATGCATCAAAAGCAGCTCTCCTGAACAGACTGAGCAGTGGAGTCTTGGGTGGAGGGTTTGTTGCTCTGGCAGGTCAGAACTCCACATGTAAGTTTATTTTCACTTTAAAAAAAGAAGTTGAAGTTGGTTGACTATAAAGCAAAGGATGGAAACTTATCTAGCTGTTACTTGATGGAAAGAATGCCTCTTAAAATTGCCATAGAGCTGTTGGTTCACACGGACTATGCGATGTTGAATCAGGCTTGCTCACATCTGCATGCTGCTTTAAAAGTGAGTCTTAAAAAATTCTTTCGGTTTAAGTTGAAGGGGGCCTGCGATGAGCAGAATGAGTACTCCCTAACTGATTTTCCCCTTCTGTATTTGGTGAGTGTTCGCTCCTTTCTCAACACATCCTTAGTAGATAACTTTTTAAAAGAAGTATTGTTGGTTGCTCCTCAGTATTTAAAGTTTTTGCCTGAAATACAGTTCTGGAGAACAAGTGGTATGAAGACACTTCACTATTAAAAAATTTAATTTAAAAAATGTTCTATAGCAGCTAAAAATCCTGAACTTGGTCACCATATGGTACTGGCTAGCCTCTGCCTACCCGCTCTTTTGTTATCGTGTTATTGTTGTCCGGCTTAAAGACAGTTGTAAGCCATAGTTGGGGTG